CCCCCTTCCCTCCCCCCTCGGGCCGCAGCGACCCTATATAACAACCTGCTCGCGGTCGTCCAGGTCAGTCTGCGTGGAGTCCCACAGCAGAACACATCGCAGTCCAGCGGAGCAGCTAACCCCCTCACTGTGAGTACGCCCACTCCCCCTTCACCCCCTACCGCCCCCTACCGCCCCCGCGGCCCGTACGGGTACGGCCCCTGCGGTCCCCTTCGGCCGACCTTAGGCCCCAAGGCCCGACAGGCCCCGCTATGCCCCATAAGGGATCATTCGGGAATCACTTCCGTCATTTGCCGCTGCAAGCTCTCATAGCGCCTGCTACGTAGGCAAAATCCTGGCTGCATTGCATGCGTGTTCCGCGGGGTGGCCTACCACGAGTCTCGCAGGCGCCAAGCTCGCGTATTTGACTATTTCTATTTCTTTGGCAGTGTGCACGAAATACATAGAATGACGGCCTCTGTTTGTGCGGGTGTGTAGCCGCTGCCTCGCGTCGTAAACTGCCCTGTTCTCACTAGCTCGCCCTAGCTTCAGTAAGGTCGTGGCGTTGTTGCCAATCGAGCTGCGAGGCTTCATCGCGTAGCGGCGGTCACGGGTGTCGGGCAGGGTTGGCATAGAGTATTAAATTAAATCTAAATTGAGTCAAATTCGGTCCAAAAATATTGCACTTCACGGCACACCACAGCGCCACGCGCGTCAGCCGATGCCCGACCTAGCTCACGCTCAGGAAGCCGTCGACTGCGAATTTTGCAGTAGTGTTTTGTAGTCGGTAGGTGTCCCCAGCTGTATTACATTCTGCTCCTTTTCGCCCCATTTAGCACCATTTAATTCTTTATGCAGAAGTCTCGCTCACCGCGTGGGTGGGCCGCACCCGGTCGAGCCCAAAGTGAGACGGGGTTGTTTCTTCTTCTTGCCCTCGACCCAGCGCTGTATCCCTCTCTCTCCTGTCGCAGGCTACCATGATCAAGTCCATGAGCGTCCTCGTCCTGGTGGCGGCCCTGTGCTGGGGCGCCAGCCAGGCCACCGGGCCCGCCGCCTTCGAGGGCGTGGACGTGGCCGCCCTCCTCAAGAACGAGACGGCCGTCGCGGGCTACGTCAAGTGCATCCTGGGCTCCGGCGAGTGCAACGAGTCGGCCAAGCGCCTGCAAGGTGAGTCGAGCGCGCGGTTCTCACGGCGCTGGCCGCTCACGCCCGATCATATAAAACGCTTGTATATGTATGTACTGTCAGCTTCCAGCCAGCATTGTTAAATTTACAACACGGCATTCGTAAACTAAATAAAGTTTACATCTATGTTTACGTCTATACGTTTATGTCTAAAAGAAAGTCCATGAAAAGTTGTTTGTTTAAGTTAATCTTTTTTTATGCCAACTGTAAATTAACTTTTTCCAAGTGTCATTTTAGCAGATGATACTTCCAGTATCACTATATGGGTAGCGTTCACGATGGCTAAGGTTCAAACAATAATTCAACATCACCCTTTTAAATAATATTTTTATTAGGAGGAGGGGGGGCAGATGGGTAGCGTTGACGATGGTCACTGAGGCCTAGTATTGTCAACAATACTGAGCCAAGGCTCAGTATTGTCAACAATACTGAGCCAAGGCCCAGTTTTGTCAACAATACTGAGCCAAGGCCAAGTATTGCCAACAATACTGGGCCATCACCGTTTTAAATAATATTATCATAAGGAGGAGGGGGGCAGATGGGTAGCGTTGACGATGGTCACCGAGGCCCACTATTGTTGGCAATACTGGGCCATCACCCTTTTTATTAGAAGGAGGGGGAGCAGATGGGTAGCGTTGACGATGGTCACTGAGGCCCAGTATTGTCAACAATACTGAGCCAAGGCCCAGTAATGTCAACAATACTGGGCCAAGGCCCAGTATTG